ACGCGCTGAGGGCAAGAGGTAGCGCCGAGGTAGATCGAATCTTCATCTCCCCAACCACAGATGATTTCTGTGATTTATCTGGGACAGAGCGTCTGGTGGCGCGTGTGGGCTGCAGCCGCTGGCTGGCCGGGCCTGGTTAAGTGAATTTCAATTTGGGGAGTGGAACGAATTGGGAACGCAACAATGACGCCAAATTGAAATAGGGGACATCATCGTCTCTCTCTCTGGCCAACGCTCCCTTACATAAGCGAGTATCAAGCGCTTGTCAATTGTCAAAGTGACGGCACATGGCGATGGCAAACACCTTATCTAACGCCATAAAGTGCAATTCAGCGTATGATTAACACGAATATGAACAATAATGACCCGGTGAGAGCGCGAGCGCGTCTCTATGAAACAATTCACGGGTACAGTTTACAGCTCGAAGAGCCAAAGCCACCAGGAGAAGCAGAGCCACAAGTACTCGTAAGTGAAGCATTAAAGCGCAGAAATTACAACCATGAAGAGTGGAGTGTATTTTTGGAGGAGCCCCAGAGATGGGCTTGGCACTGTCCGTCTGTCCATTCATGTTTTGTGGCATTCGTAAATGTATGTACATTCAGTATACGCGGCGGTGTACCAAGCTCATTAGGCAGACATTAAGCATTTCTCCCCGCAGTTAGTTGTTGTTGTTGTTGTTGCCACTAATTTCCATGTCAAAACCCACAGATTTCACTCAGAGTCAACAGCGCACCCACAAAAAACAGCATGCACTTGAAGCCGCTGAAATAATTCAACTTGAAATTGAATTTTATTTGCTCGCAAAAATTGCATTATTAACACACTTTACAGTGCGTTTCAAAACAATAAGACTAGTATTGTAAGTATTGTAAGGAAATGGCCTACGTAAGCCACAAAACAATAAATATTTGATCTGATCACTGTTGGATAACTGATTCACTGCGGTATTAGGTAACTGTGCGATAACTAGCTCGAAAAGTAAGCCTTGATTGCTTCATCGATTCCTGGTGGACAATGGTTTCTCTGTTAGGCTTCTGCGTTTCGGCTAATATGCCATAGACTTATACTAGCAATACGCACTGTACACAGCTACAATATGGGCTTGTCGAACGGTTGGTTTCTTGAACCCCGGTGAACTCTCTGCACGCAATTGTCTCTACAACGGCGGCAGTGTCAAGTTGCAGCTATCTGCATGCCACAACGTAGATCCGTGACTCAGTGAACACTTTGCGCAGGAACGGAACACAATTATTTGCCAACGATTGATTGTGTCATCGTGATCGACTACTGACATTTTCGGCTGAGCATTCATTCGATTTCGTTTCAGTTTTCGCTTCATTTCCGGCCAGCACGTAATTGAAATTACATTAAGCAAAGAAATTTTTGGCAGTGAAACTGTTGTCCGATAATCGCTTTCATGGAGTTTTAATTATTTCCCTGAATTATCGCTGTAACTGAACTGACTCTGGGCTTTCGCTCTCCACTGTCCGCTCTCGTTTGGACCTACATTAACATGCCAGCTGAAGAGACTGAGACTGAGACCACTCCAAAACCATATGAAAATGGATGTGAAAAACTAACCAAATTAATAAAAAGACCCGCACATCGCATGGAAAGGCACATGGAAAATTGAAATGCAGTCGGAGTCACTGCAGGCCCGTTTTGGGAAACGAAACGAAATGAAAGGAAAGGAAAGTGAAATTATAGCCGCTCCTCCCCGCTGTCTGTTTCAATGGGATTGAATTTGTTTTCGATTTCGTTCGGTTTCTGAAACGTTTCTAAGGTTCGCGCTTTTTAATACGCCGCATGCATAATTATTATGCATTAATACATACATATATGTATGTATATGTATGTACTCGTTTGTTGCTGTCTCTTCACTTAGGCACCATTTGCCGACACCGTGGCCTATAGTTTCGATCCGTTGCAGTGAAATTGAAAATCATTTTTGAAAGTGGTAAAATTATTTGCTGCCCGACAAAACACACATTCCATGTGACCGTTTAAAGCAAATGTTTCTTTTTTTTTGCCGTAATTTTTCTCACTCTCCTTGTTTTTTGTTGTTTCTGTTTTTGTTTGGGATTTGTTTTTGTTTTCTTTTTTCTTCTTTTTGGTCACTATTACAAAATATTAATTGCAGGCTGAAGAGCAAGAAATGGAAAATGGGAGAGCGAAAGGTAAACAAAATGTTGGATACTCTTTCAATGATGTACAAATAAAAGGAAGGTTTCACAAGAAAAAAGGAACAGCAGCAGGAGCTCCTACACTTTAATCAATATATGTATGTATGCATGTCACCTACCACCCATTCAAGTCAGCATACCCTTTGCTATCCACGACTCTTCCCCTGCCCTCGTTCCCATCAGCAGCATCAACATCAACATAAAAAGCAACAGCCCGAGCGGCAGATAAATGTTTAGCTAACCCAAATCCACACACAAGGAAGGAAACTACTGCTGGGGCGCACAAAGGCACCAAGAGGCTCTCCTCTGCACTGGCTGCAATCCAGTTTAGATTTCGACCACATTTTGACCATAGCACTGCACTAAGATGCCGCGCCAATGCATCCAATGCAGCGGGAGCAGGAAGCGTTTTATGGCCAAGCAGCAGCAGCAGCGGTAACGGCAGCGGCAGCGGCAGCGACAGGCATTTTGGGCATCACCCGGAGGCAGCAACAAAAAGCTGTCTTAGTTTCGTGCGCTTAAACTGGAGTCAAATGGCGTCTCGATGCGTCGACGCATCGATAAATGTCTCTCTGCATCAGCCTCTTTCTCAGTTCCTCACGCGTCTCTGGACGCCTCCTGTGAGCCAAATCCCGACTGGCGAGTGCACTCTACTGAATTGCATAATGCCCGATATTTATGTCTTCTTGTCAATGTTGCATCAGCCAGCGCTGCGATCCTCCAGCTGCTGCTCAATCGCTGCCAATTCAACACACCACCTGCCCTGCCTGTCCTCCTTCTGCTCTACAAAAGATTCTACCATGAATAAGGTTGAATTATACCAAAATCAGATAAACAGACGCAATTAAGTTGATCTACTTGGTGCTGTGGGAACACTTTGGGCCAAAGCGAACAGATTGACTCAAATTTTATGCAAATCTCGTTACTCTTTTCCGCATACGTATGGAAAAACAGAGACAAGCAGAGAGCCTTGGAAAAGTCATTCATAAGCGAGTGGCTGAAGGTCGAATCATTGTTTGTTGCTGTTAATGTTGCATTTGCCATTTGGCACCGCCTTGGGCGTGTGGGATCGCAACGGAGCGACACCACCTGTGAAAAGGTTAACACTAATTGCTCTTTACCGATTCAATTCCATTCAATTGATTCCGATTGATTCTCCGTGGCGGCACTAGAAGTGAAAGTGCTTTGTTCTAGTCGTTGCCGCACCCCGTGCCAAAGAAGCTGTCAGCCAGCGGATGTTGGAGCTGGTCACGGTTGAATGCTCTCCAGGCCCGAGGGGTCTGATGGCCAAAAACTTCATCACATAACTCAGGCTGAAAAGTGAAAACCTTCCTCATACGTCATCGCAGCCCGCACATAACTCACCGCCTACCCATGGGGGCAGGTGAGGCTTTATGACAAGTTGACTGATTGGATTTGTGGTGAAGCTGCTCCTACAGCCACTGCCACTGCCACTAGCGCTGTCGCTGTCGCTGTGGCTCCTGCTCCATGCGAGGCTGTCAATGCACTCTCAATTGCAAATTGCAAATTGAAACTGCAACAAAAAAAAAAAAGCAAATAAACTGACAGACAGAGTCGCGTCTTGTTTGGGTTACCTAATGGATAATGGTCCGCCGATGAATGAATGTTTCGCTGTGTGAGCTCTTATGCTAATTAACTCAATTTCCACGATCCATAAACGTCTCACTTAGACAATTGTTTGCTTAGCGGAAACTGTGCGCCGCTGGGAATGAGAATGTTTTAATTGCTCGATAGAAATATCCATCAGCAAAGGCCCCTTTTAAGGCCAAATTCTTGCAGACCCTCGCCACGGAGGGCTGGAAGCCTTTTGCCAACGACGCGTGTATACACTTAGTTTTGAATTGATTGCCACTTAAGCCACTTGGACTCTGCATAACTGTGCCACATAAGGCACTGGGCAATGGTTTAATAATAGTTTTCAATAACTTTTGACAAAATCTATAAACTTTAAGCAAGGCACAGGTCCCAGCTGGTTATGTGGTAGTAAGGTAAATGATACTACCGCTACATATTGACCATCGATAATTATAGTCGATAGCAGGCTAAGAAAAAGAACAAGAAAAGGCGGCTATGAAAAAATTAACGATTTCAATAGCATCCGTCGAAGGACGGCATATCGTGGATCATGTACATTATTTGTGCATATGTATGTATGTGTGTACCTTCGGTATTTAATCAATTTCCACACCAAATCGGTTTATACACTCGACTTCATTCCACAGTTTGTTTGTTACTCTATACCCTATCAAAAGACGAAGAAAAGACACACCGAAACAAACAATTCAATTAAATTCATAATGGAATTTAGTGTAACAACGAAATCAACTACAACGACGACCTTGAGTGTCCCCCCACAGACACAGAGCGAGAGCGGAGCGGAGGCTAAAAGCCAATTAAAGCTTGATGCACGGATCATAGACGAGTACGAGTATGGCAATGAGTCAGAATTATGGAATTGTAGCTGTTATGGCTGCCGAGGGGTGTAACATGAATCATGAGCGCAGCGCGGATCGCCTGCAACTTGCAAGCGGATCGATTTTCCCAGCAGCACAGCACAAAAAAGTTGTCACAGCAAATTGCAAAACTGGCACACCAAAAGGAACAGCAGCACAACAACGAGAAATACGAGTACTAGTACTAGTCTAGCACTAGCACTATGGCCCAGACGACATTTATGGCCGAAAGATAACTGATTTGAATTGGCGGGCCGCCGTTAATTTCAATTATCCACCACAAATCGTTGGTGGATCTTTTGAGAGATCGGTGGAGCCAGAGCCGGCCAGAGCTGCCTTGTGTTGGCCACAAACGGACCACAGTGCGGCGCCAGACACGGCCAGACCACATATTGGCCCGCTACAGTCTGCTGGCCTGGACCAGACCAAAAGCTACAGCAACAGCTACGACAGCTACAGCTACAAAAATGTTCGTAAAAGCCACTTTGGCTTAAAGCGTATTGTGGTTGACGCTGACGCAGACGCAGACGCAGAAGCTGGCAGCGCTGCCTGAAAGAAAACCAGCAACGAACCAACGAACCAACGAACCACTCTTACTTACTTTGGCCAGAGACGCTTTTCATTTCTTCAGTCTGTTAACGGCATGCCAACGATGCAGACGCGGCGCAGCTCCAGCTATTCGGCAAAAACTTAACTCGAACTCTAACTGAAACCGAACTTAAACTGTAACTTTAAACTGTAACTGCAACTGTAACACAGTGGTGCCCAACGACATTCATTTGCACTGCTCCTCCGTTAACTGAAAGTGCGTGCGCTTCCTGCCGGATGCCATTCCGTGTCCCTCGGCTACGCTACCATCAAAGTGTTTGTTCAAAGTGAAATTCAAGCGGCAGCGAAAGGAGAAGCTCAACAGATTTATATTTTGATTTAATATCGTTCGCGTTTCCCCTCTGGTGCTGCTGATCTGCAAATTAGTATAAATTAAAAGCAGTAATTGAGTTTTTGGCAAAGTGAAAGAGAAGCCACCACCAGCACTAAGCGCTGCCCGCTGACTGACGCAGGAAGGAGAGCGGTAAGTGGCCAAGTGCGGGACGTCTAACTGCCAAAAAAGGCAAATAGAAATTTATTTTTTTTTTTCACTCTTCACACAGAAGCACACACATGTGTTGGCAATTTTGCTGTTTATTTTTTCATGCTCTAATTATTTGGAAATTTCATTTTGTTTTTGCTCACTTCTCTCGTTAACTGGCATGCAATTTGTTTGCCCAAAGAGTTATGGTCTGCCCCAACCATCCGTCCGTCCGTCCAGCCATCTAGCCAGCCGTCTATCCATGCTCTAGAGAGTGACGAGACAAGTCGAGTCAAGTTTTATGGCCATACTTCCTCATTAACGGGTAGATAAGTTGGGAGAGATGAGACCCCTGCCCTGTCCCACTGCGTGTCTATTCTTTGGGGGGCCAGATGTAAATGTCTTGGGTTCGGGCTTTTGCTGCTTTTCCATCTTCCACTTCATTAACCCAATTTTCACCAGGTGAAACTTTTATTTTCGACAAGAAAAGTCTTGTTTATCGGACCCATTTACATACGATGCTACAAGGGCAGCAGGGGCAGGCATTTCTTTCCACAATCTGTGATGCCATCCGATCTTAACGGAACTAATGTCTTCACTTATTCGTGGATGTTTCTACTGCGGTTTGTCATTTGAAGATACTCGTAAAAGCAAACACACACAAACAGTGAGACAGAAGGGAAATTACAATTACCTAGGGAGGTTCACGTTTGTTTGATTTTTGTTTTTGTTTCTTGCTCTTTTTTTTATATACCTATTTTATTTATGTGTGTATACACATTTTTATATGCGAGCTGGCGGCGTTTTCGAAATTAAATACTTTCTAATTACAATAAACGAAGGCGGCGGGCATCGCCGGCCGGCCAATTGCCATTGCCTGCCCCGCGCGTTCACAGAGACGACATCCCCATCCCCATCCACATGGCCATCATAGCCTTTGGCAGCAAACAGAAATCACGTAGCCGCCTCATCGGCCAATTTCAGTGCCAATAAAAGAGATGCAGAAGCAGACAAAGAGAGAGAGAGAGAGAGAAACAAAACTCGCGAAAGTGTCAAGAAAATATAATACCGCTCAGACTCACTTTTTCTTTATTGTCGTGTCTTAATGTGGCGCTTGATGTGTTTATTTGCCATTGCTCCTCCACTCCTCCACTCCTCCGTTCCGCCTCACCACCATATCCATCGCCATCCTCATTCCCATCGACTGTTTAAAACCAATGAAAGTGAAACGTGCGAATGTCTTTGCGTAGCCGCAGAAGCTTCCAAGGTTCAGCACGTGCCAGGCCCCAGCCCCAGTCCCAGTCCCAGCCCCAGTCAGCCTGTGTGGCCTACCCGTCCGTCCATCCATCTATCAATCCCTCCGCCTGCCTGTCTGTATTTTTTGGTCTTTCAATTACTCAACCGCAAAACGTTCAATTTGTCAAGCGCTGAGCCGCCTCTCGCACTGCCTTGGGATTACGACTTTCTCGCACTGGCTAAACAAAAGACTTAGGACGCAAACTTGCTTCATTAGTTCGCTTTCTTTACGTTTGCCAGAGTGCGTGGCAGAACTTAATGAGAGTGTTGTAGCAAAGCGTGTGTGTCAGCTATTGAGCAGTAGGAAGGTCATGCATATATTGAATAATATGCCTAATGGTAGGGCTATAAATGTAGTAGAAACTTTTTACCATAAAAGCTGTGCATAAAAATGTGTCACAAAATACTCACAGGATTTCTGAATTTTTTAACAATTCCAAAAGACAAGAAGGAAAGATTAAATTTTAGTTTATAATATTTTCAGCTCAAGTTAATTAAGTCACTGATCACTGATCCAAATAGTTCATTAGTTTGCCTCTTGAATTTACTGATTTGTCTGTCAATTTATAGCTATATATAAAAACCAGTTGCATCAGAGCTAGAAGAATGGCATCGTTTATAATTAATCTACGAAATGTCGGAATTTAAGACTTAAGTAAATATTTGTACACCGGTTAAAAAATACTTCAGTTGGCCATTATTCTCATTGGGATTTAAGTAATACATATAATGGCAGATTTGACACGATCTGTATACCAAATGTGAATAATTACTGCCAATATCAGATCAATGTGGAAACAACAACATAAAATTCAATTTCAGTCCCGGTTTTATGGCCTGGCCCCGCTGCATTCAAGTCGTGAGTTGTTGCAGTTGCAGTTGGGTCTCCGAGATGCTGCAGCAGCAGCAGCAGTTGATTAGTCAGCCCCATTTGCTGGGGCTTTTCGTTTTGTTTGCCGCTTTTCTAGACCAGGCCTCCGCCAGAGATCGAGAGACCGAGAGACCAGACAAGTTGAAGTGTCTTGGCCTACTGAATTTTTTCTCACACTCTTGTCTTGGTCACGGATGTGGATTGATTGCTAATGTTCATCTGTGCATATGTATCTTGGCTGCGTTTAGACGGCGTCTTATGTGGATACACTCGTTGGATTGCATCACAAGCAGCAGGTCTGGGGGCCAGAATGGTGCCCTGGTACCGCCTCCTTGCCCTGGCACTCAGCAGAGAGAGACCAACAACAAACCAGATCCGACCCAAGCCACATGCATTTGTCTGCCAGTACGGGATATTTCCTCAGCTTCTGTCTGTCTGTGCCACAATTTGCTTTCTTCGGCTGCTACTCCGATTGGGGCTGCCGCTCTGCGCCTTTGTTTTGTCAGAGCTTGCTTTATGGTTTTCCATATAAACATACACACACACACACACACACACACTCGTATATCAACGGGGTATGCACATGTATGTACATTGCCTATATAGAGTAAGTAGCTCTTTCGAAATTGTCACATTGTTTTGGGGGGGGGGGCTCCCAGTTATCTCTGGCTCACTGGCTTCTTCACTGGATTCCCTCGCACCCGGCTCACGGTGGGGCATTTGGAAACAACAGTTTTGTAATTAGCTGAGCGCATCTTTTGCACAATCCGCAGTGTCGTTATTGTTGCCATTCGATTCCGTTGAGTGATAAAAATTTAAAACAATTTAAACTGTTTAACGTGTAGCTCCCATTAAGAGCTCCCCTCCCCATGCCCTCGCCCACAACAACACATCCGGTTTGTGTTGCGGCCTCCTCCACCCTGCCCCTTGCATGCCAAACGGAATTCGTCGAAGAAATACTTTCGCTTTCAAATGCCTAGCATAAATTCTTGAGATTACGCAAGAGGCGGCGCCGAGGCAAGTGGCTTGGTTTGCCGAACAGGTGCTGCCTGCCCTCCAACTCAGTCTTCAAGTCCAATTCCACCTCCACATCGACATCAACATAGACATCGGGTATGGACTCTTACCTCATTTGGAAAGCAGTGAGCGCGAGAAATGAAAGTTTGTTGTTTTTTTTTCTTTTTTTTTAGTTATATTTCCATTTTCATTTCTTTCGTCGCCGTTGGCTGCGTGAAATTTACATTTCGTTTAATAATTTCAAACATTTCTTCGGGGTCGCTGCGGCATAAAATTTGAGGAATTAGCAGACAACACAAATGGGCATTTTCCTATGTCGTTTTCTGGTGCTCTGCTCTGACTCTTTCCGGCAGGCCTAACAATCGCTGGCAATGGTGACACGCCCCCACCCCAAGAGCCAATTTTGATTTTGCCAGTCGACAAAAGGCCCATTTCATTGTCGCTTTCGTTTCATTTCTTTCTTGCCTCACCACCCCCTACCACTCCACCAAGGCAAAGTTCATTGGCTCTGCATTTGGTATGGCATAATTTATGCGTCGCCATCAATTTCGATGGCGGTTCATCGTTAGCTGCTGCTGCTGCTGCTGCTGCTGGACAAAACTAATTGGCTTTGCATCTGCGATTTGGCAGTCAGTATCTGTATCTGGATCGTAGTCTCGAAAAACTGTATCTGAGAGATGGCGGCTGAGATTTGTCTGAGATACAATCAGTCAATATTTAATGTGCAGCTTGTGCAATTCATTTGGTATTGTAGCTTTCGAGTAGGATAGACAGACAACCTGAGTCGTGTGTTGGCTTGACATCAATTCGTGGTGCTGGTGCGTTGCAGTTGCGCAAAGATTTCTGTGAAATATTGGCAGTCCGTGGCACTGGCGGCACACTGAGTCACACAATTGAACTGTTCAGGTCACGCACATTCCTCTTGGCTTGGGCTTCGGCTTCGGCTCTAGCTCTTGGCTTGTGTTTCTTTTTGCTGGCTGGCCATGCTGCTGCGCTCCCCTGTGCTGTGCTCTAATAATTCAGCTGCAGCCTCGGCTCTTAGTATCCGCAGATCCGCAGGCGTTGCCAAAATGTGAGTGGAGAGTACGACGAGTGGGTGTGTGTGTGTACGTACTTGGTGTGTGGTTTATGCTACGGCCATCGGAGCGTGGCCGTTGCAGCCTCCAACTGCAATTAAAAGCAGCTCTACAGAAACAACAGCAGACCCAGTCCCACTCGCAGCTACAAATGTGTCTTGCAGATGGCATTGCAACATACAGAGTAATGCAACCCTTTACAACGTCCCCACCTGGTAGTTCTCCTCCTGGGCTTGCGAGCCCAACGTGGAAGATCTATTGCCTTTTAATTATCCAACAACTAATTCCATATTATTTTTGTATATTTTGCAGCTACCACTCAACGCTGCTGCTGCCGCTGTTTATGGTAAGTTTACAATGGAATGAATGACCTTCCGGCTCAGTGGGTGTTCACTCTACACTCCACACTCCACACTGTTCACTGTTCACTGCTCAGTGGGTGTGGCTCTGCTCTCAGACAGACAGCGAGTCGGGTAATCCAATTAAATCACACCCAAATGATCAGCAAAGCGATGAAACAATGTCAATGCCAGAGACAGTTACCGAGAGGGAGTCGTCGGATGCTAATCCATGCTAATCCCCAGGCACTGATTGAACCCGGACAAACTACGAGTACTAACGATCTTAACGAGCGACGCGGCGGCACTTGTAATCCGCTTAAGCCAGACCTTTTTTCGGTGCTAACATCCGGCTGTAGTCTTGTGGTTTGTGGTCTCTGGTCAGTGATAAAACCCGCCTGAAATGCCATTAATCTGTGGCTTCCCTTCCTCCGCATCCGAACGAAAGTCCGCCAGATGTCTGCTGCAAAATGAAAGGGAAATTATCAGTTCCAGTGCCAGTGCCAGCTCCAACTTCACCTTCAGCTGCAGATCCTATGTATAGTCGTACTTGCGCCCCTTTATGTTCGTATACTCCTACCAGAGGGCATTGTCACATTTCACTTTCAATGAAAAGAGGCAACAACAGCAGCAGCAGCAGCAGTGGTTTTCAAGTGCACTGCCCCCCCCCCCCCCAACGTCTCTTTCTCCACCAGTCTTTGGTATTCACTGAGGTGTGACCATGAGTTTTGTATCTCTTTCTTTGTGTATCTGTATCTTTTTGTGGATAACTGGTTTGCTGGAGCGTAGTCCGAAATATTGACCGCAAGTGTGTCTAATTTCTATTATTTTGCTATCATCTCCCCCTCGGAACCGACGGAACGATGGAGGCAACTCCGCCGATGCAATGAACTTTCTTCTTTCACTGTGCCACCTGTGTAGACCTGTGTGCAACAGAAGCAGCAGCAGCAGCAGCAGCGTTGCAAGTTCCGTTTTTTGTTGCTGTTACGATATTTTGCATTACTTTTCGCCGTCTTTTGCTTTCGTTTAACCCATTTAATGTGGCTGGAACGCGCACAGTTTGGGCCTGGCATCCGTTGAGAGTGCAAGCTACAAAAAAAAAAACCAAACAGGGGCTGGCATACGAGCGAGGCGAGTATGTGCGATTAATTCAATGGAAAAGTGAAAACGAAAGTGCTCGGGGATCGGTGATCGGAATGAACAGCAGTAACAGCAGTTTTACTCACTTAAGCCAGTGGCCAGTGGCCAGTGGCTGGTCAGGTTTGGTGGCGACTCTCTGTGGCGACTCACTTTCGTTTTCATATGCTCGTTCATGAGCGAATCTTCGGCCGCCCCTTGACAATATTCCGCGGACTGCAACGGATGATGGGCGGTGGAAGGTGATGATGCAATTAGTACCGGCCCAGACATATGCCATTTGCCATATATTTCATTTGATATTCCGTATGCAAAATGATTTTCCAATGAGGAAATCTCCATTGATCATGGATCATGGCTACTCAATGAGGCATTGCATTAGGAGGAGTGTACCCTCCCCCCTCGCTCTCTTTGCTTCGATTGCCGTTTCATTTTAAGTATTGCAATTTCTCGCGTTGGCCAAATGAAGACAAGTGCACAATTATGGCTGGCTGGCTGGCTGGCTGGCTGGCTGGCTGGCTGTTTGGCTGGCTGGATTGGCAGACCGGCAGTTATGGACCGCTTGCCGACCAGTTAACAGCGCTTACAGTTACACTTGCCATACCGCTGCAGCTCAGAGCAAGTTCCAGTCAAGACCAAGACCATGCCCCGCTCCACAGTCAGCAATTATCGCGCTTGATTTACAGATCCCAGCCAGATCCCAACCGAAAACCTTTCACTTGGCCAGAGTTTTGAGTCGGGCTTATGGCGTTTGTTTTAGCATGCAAATCGATCTGAATTAAGGGTGCCACTGCAGCTGTGCTGCTCCCCGACGCCGCCCACTGACCTTGCCCGACTGGTACACAGTCCCTGTCCCAGTCCCTGCTCTCTGCACCCTCTGGTCGCCTCCTGTTTCGCCTCAGTTTCGCCTCTGCTTCGCCTCTGTTAGGTCCATGAGAAAAGATCTCATTAAAAATTCATCGAGAGAACTCTGAAAGTTTTGCCTTTGGATTCGGCACAGCTGCAACCTGCAATTGGCTGCAATTGACCTTTTCTTCTGGCGAAAACCTCTTGGATAATTTTAAGAGCTACCAGCCCGCGATTTGTAACCTGTTCTTAGTGGGTGGGAGTTTGTTTGGTTAATTGCGCGTTCCAGATTCGTAGCGATAGGAAAAACAGCCCATAATTATTGACCTTTTGGTGGGGCTTCATTCTAACGGATTGGATTGTTCTTAGTGGCTGGACTTGGAGTCCTATACCGCAGCTCAACTAATTCACAATTCAACATCTCTCCCACTAGTCATATGAAGCTATGAAGCGAGGCATGCAACTTACTGCCACCTGGCTGTGCCTACTGGCCACAGCCGCCACCTTTGCCCGGGCCCAGGAATCGTCAGCCAAGTGGTCGCGCCAGCTCGAGAATGCGCCCACCTCCGATACGGATTCCCTGGACTGGATACCACTCGCCCAGCCGCTGGACGGAAGCGGCGCCGGAAAGGATCGCTCCGGCAATGGTCGAGTGCTGACCTACTCGCAGACGTTTCCACCCAGCGCCCGGTTCGGCGATCTGACCAAGCCAGGCCTATCCCCCGGATCACAGTTTGATTTCTCGTACCCGTTCCCAAGGTATTCGAATGGACAGGACAGGGACAGGGACAGGCGCTGCCTCTGCGTCAGGGACCACCGCCAGCGCTGAAGACGAACTCCGGCCAGGAGCCCACATCGCAGTCGTTCTTCAAGTTCGAGATGCCCTTCCACAGCAACGAGGCGGGTCAGGCACAGTCGCCGCCCACTCTGCAGACGGGCTACCAGATCCAGCACACCTTTGGCGGCGGTCTGCAGGCCCCATCCTCGCTGTTCAGCCCCCCCTCGCTGTTTGGCCAGCAGCAGGCACAGCCCTTCGGCTCCGAGTTCCATACCCTGGCGCAGAAGCCGCTGAACAAGCCGCTTCGTCAGCAAAACTACATCCAGGACATTCTGCCACCCAAGTCCCATGCCAAGCCGACGCAGCCCTCGCTGCAGAGCGTCACGCCTCAGGTATTTCCACTCGACCCCGAGCCAGAGTCGATCTTTGGGCTGAATAAGGCGGCGCCCTCATCCGCTCCAGCCTCGAGTGGAGGTCAGCAGCAGCAGCAGCAGCAGCAGGAGGTGCAGCTGCTGTACGTGCCCTACGACACGCTGTACAACCAGCAGCGACAGCAGTCTGGCCAGTCCAGGCCAAGTTCTTCCAGCTCCAACTTTGAGGTTAACAAGTTCAATGTGAATCCAGGACTTCCTGCCGTCAATCCCTACCAGATCAACCAGTTCTACACGCAGGATCCCAACGCGGACAGCGACTTCTTCAGCTCGGGAACCACCGCTCGACCAAGCACCACCTCCACCAGCCAGCCGCACAGCATTTTCCAGAGCTTTGGCCAGTCCCTGTCCCTGTCCCAGCAGCAGCCACAGCCACAGCCGCAGCCGCAGGCACAGACGCTGTTCTCCACCGCCAAGCCCAAGCCGAAGGCACACCAGCCACCGCTGGCCATGTTCCTGCTGCGCTCCAGCTCCCGGCCCTCGCAGTCGGATGTGGTGGCTGCCCTGCGCAGTGCCCACAGCATTTCCGTGATCGATTCGCCCACGAAACAGACGCCGGAGATCTTTGTGGGACCCGCTGGCATGCCCATACCCGATGGCTATGTGAAGTTTGATCTGCCGTATTTGTCGCAGCTGGCCCAGACACGTGACCTCAGCGACGTCTCCTTCTTTGTGGCACCGCTCAGCTATCGCACACCGAACGGATTCAACAAGATCCTGCTGCCCGAGCCGCATGTGGGTTCCATTGTGGTCAACCGCGCCAAGGACTCCGTTCCGGTGCAGACTCAGCCACCGCCACAGCGTCAGCAGCGTCCGTATGCAGCCGTGAGCAGCACGCGCAATCCTTTCGAGACCACCACCCAGACACAGGCACAGCAGGCACAGGCACATCAGGCACAGTCACAGCAGGCACAGCAATCGCAGAAATCGGGAGCTCCTGTGCGCGGCAACAAGTTCAGCTACTATTACGTGCAGGATGGCATCCAGGAGGTGAGCTCTCCGAAGATTCCCGCCAAGCAGGAGCGCCACAAGAAGAAGCGACCCCAGAACGTGCAGGTGGAGCATCAGCAGCAGCAGCAGCCCATCTACCGTCCAGCCACCAAGACGCAGAACCCCTTCGACACGCTCAATCAGATCGGAGGCGATGACTTCTTCAAGTCGCTGACCAACAAGCCCACCACAACTAGCTCCACCTCCACCAGCACAACATCGACCACGTCCTCGACCACTTCCACCACGGCGGCGCCCACACAGCCCCTCTTCACGTATAGCACCCGGCCGCAGGTGGAATTCCCCGGCGCCAGTGGCCACCTGTATCCCGAGTACCTGCAGCCCGTCCAGGAGCAGCAGCCGCGTCTGACCACGCGTCCGCCGACGGCCACCACAGTGGAGGAGGAGAACCGCATGAAGCAGTACTTCCGGCAGCAGGATGCCTTCCGCCAGCGTCCGCTCACCACGATTCCGCCCGCCTTCGAGCAGGTGCAGTACACGCCCAGCGCACCCGACTACGAGGTGCCCACGACGCAGAGGATCAAGAGCAAGCATCGCGTGAACATCTACACGCCCGCAGCGGTGCCCGTGACCACCTCGGATGTTGGCTACCAAGTGGAGCAGGAGCAGGCACAGGAGCAGGCACAGGCGCCGCTGAACCACAGGCCCAGCTACAACCAAGTGCAGAACGAGATTCTGGATAACAGCAACGTGGACTACGAGCCGAACCCCTACCATGTGCCCTCAGAGCTGCCGGCTCTGACGCCGGACATTCCCGGACTGGTCAACAATCTGCAGGAGAAGGACAAGCTCCAGCCGGGCACAACGATCACGCCACAGAGCGAGCCAGAGAACCCAGAGACGCGTCCCACTCGCCGTCCACTGCTGCGCACCCGCAAACCGGCCGTGTCCAAGGTGGTGACCACCTCGTCCGTGTCCTACTCCGAGTCCGAGTCAAGCGGAAAGGTGCCGCATCGCATCCGTCGACCATATGGCAACCGAGGCACTGCAGCCGGAACCGCCTCCACCACGGGCAGCGGTGACCAGGGAGAGGACTCTGCGGCGACACCGACACCGACCCGACGACCGACCAGCGCCCGGAATCCGCTCATCCGCAATCCCAATCGCATCCGCTACAGGCCCACCACCGAGGAGCGCCACACGCTGAAGGTGAAGACCAGGAAGGGCTCGAAGAACGGCCAGCGCGAGGACCAGGATCTGGACTACCAACGGGACGTGCTCAAGCAGAACTATCCGGTGTTCAAGGGCACCTCCTCGGCACCCTCACGCCGGCCCACCAGTCCCACGGCCATTCCCAGCTCCTACGACTTCCAGGCCACCACCGAAGGCCCGGCATCGGAGTCCCAGCAGGTGTACACGGTGACGCCCAGCAACAGCATCGACAGCGCCAGTGAGCAGGGTTCGAGGTTCCCCAACAGCCTGCTGGAGCCCATGCAGATCGCCCAGCATTATCAGGAGTTCTCCAAGGACAACTACGGGCCGGGCTACTTCCCCAATCAGGAGGATCTCACGCCCACCGAGGGCATTGTCCGCAATGAGGTGAGTCCCATCTACACCACCCTGGCGACCACAACCCCCTCGACCACCACGACCAGCACACCGGCAACCACTGAGGCAGCGCCCACGACCACAACGCGTCGCTCACCCTTCGTGCGCCGCAACTATCCCAGGCTGAGGACAACCACCACAACGGAGCCGCCAGTGACCAGCACCACGCCCTCGGAGGAGCGTCCTTCCGTAAGAAATTGAGGAAGAGACTTTCCCATGGCAATTCCCCCTCATGCTGTGCCTCATACCTTTCAGATCCGATCTCGCCTGCCGCCTCGCCGTGTGGTCAAGGTGCGTCAGCGTCAGCGGCGTCCAGGCCATCCCGCCTCCTCCACTGCGGCACCCGAAGAGGAAGTCCAGGAGCCAGCTACTAACCAGAAGCCAAATCTCCGCAAGCTGAGCCGCTACAACCAAGAGCCCAAGGAAAAGGAGGTAAGTGCGAAGTACTCTCCATTTTAGCCGCAACTGTAAGGTCTGAATCTTCAGCAGACTCCCATCACCCAGCGGCGTCGCTATAAGCAGCCATTCCAGCTGGAGGGCCAGGAGTCGCAGTGGTCGCCATCCTCGGATATATCCAGCAACAGCAACAACAATGCCAACGCCAACACCAACGCCAATGCCAACAGCTTCAAGCCACTGAATCCCAAGTACAAGACAGAGGCGCACAGCTTTGAGAACGAGCCAGAGATCGTGACTGTGGGACCCACAGAGCAGCCGGAGACGTACGAGTTCAACGTAGCTGCGGATCTGGGCGGATCAGCGGCGCAACGCACCACCACCCTAAAGGCGCCCAACCTGAAGTGAGATTTTGTTGTTGCTTTGGCTTTGGCCATACAGTTACTTATTCCCGTTTCCTTACAGGCCAGAGAAATCCTTTGCTGAGCTGCTTGAGGAGGTGATGGGCAAGGTGCCCGAGGAACTGGCCACAGAATCACCCAACAGCAGCAGCACCACCACCAGCATTGGCAGGCTGAACAGGCGTGGCAAATGGAAGAAGAGCCGTGTGACTAGTGGCTCGGACAATGGCGAAAACTTCGAGACGGCCGAGTCCCAGAATCTGGGACCACAGCTGTACAATGCCCTGCAGGCGGCGACCAGCGAGAAGGAGGAGCAGCAGCCGAAGACCACCACACCGCTGGCACCAGCAGCCACCGAGGCGGAGACAGCAGAAGCGATAGTCACTACCACGGCTGCGTCCCCCACCACGCCAGAGGAGTATGAGGTGACCACCGCCAGGGCCTTGGAGGAGGCAACCATGGCATCGACGCTGCCCATGGAGACGCTGGAGAGTGCCACGCGTCGCATGGATACCGCTGCGGATGTGGATGTAGATGGGATTGCGGATGCGGATGGCGACCTGGAGACACAGCCCAGCCTCTTCTCGGAGGTGAAGAAACAGCTGCACGATCTGTTTGCCATCGAAGAGAGCGAGGACGAGGCGGTGAACGCTGCACTGGCTGCCGTGGGCAAGCGTCGGCAGGAGTACACGAGCATCAAGCGCACCACTCCAGCCACGTCCACGGACAAAACGACTCTCTCGCCAGCGGACGCTGAGCCGACAGCCACCACCGCCACCACCACAGCAACAGAAGAAGGTGCTTCGGAGGGCAGCAAAGACAACTTCCACAAGGACCTCATGGAGCATGTGGTGTATGCCACATCCACATCGACCAAAGTCACCTCCGAGACGGAGATCTGCTATCGCGGACGCTGCATACGGTCCGAGGATCTGCCCGCCAACCACAAACTGCACTGAGCTGAGCTGAGCACCCCTCCGGCAGAGCACGGTGGACATGGACTCTGCATGTATATAAGGGCAGACGGGATACGGATCGGTATGGCCAGGTGCCAGGGCCAGGGGCAGGGGCAGGGACGAGCGAGGACGGACAGGCAGCCACCTTAACGGGCGGCGCTAGTCAGCAGAGCGCCTCATCCCTCACCAGAAGCACAAGCCGTATCCAGATGTAATTAATTAGCTTTAACTACAAATATGTTCATAAGGATAAGCAGATCGATGGATGGATGGACGCCCATTCGCACTGACGAGGAGATTAGGCCCGAAAGCTGTAGAAGTTCTTTGGATAAGATGAATATTTAGCAGAAGACACTTTGGAATGAGGCTTAGAAATTACACACCTGAAATGCTTATTCCTATCAAAGAACTTCTTTAGGCTTATCCTGCTGATCCTTGCGAGTGTTTCCCTGGATATGTATATCGTAATCCCGCTTAGAGAATTTAGTGCTTAGATCATAGAGTTAGCATAATGTCAGGATAGCACATAGCCAGCATAAGTCTTGTACCATACAACATTGTGTACTAACAAATACCAATACAGATACCAGATACCAATAAAAAATAAAACAACGAAAAATACACCCAAGTGCGTTAAACGAGTATGTTCCGGATTTGTATATGATCTGTACATGTTGTGATTATTGTATATCCTTGTATATGTATATCTGTATAGTCATGTGTTGTATAGTATAGCTAGTAATACGATGCTAGTTGCGTTCAATCAATTCCATGGAATGCACTTCCCCATCAAGGTACATGAGTTTCATAATTTTCAACCAATCCCCCAACTCTGCGCCTCGACTCAAGCCTCTATTAGCGGCGCCCGGTCCCCAGCAACGTCTTCACGCTCTTCGGCAGTGGTGGCCGTTGGCGTTCTAGTTGGTGTGTTCCATTCTTGGACATCGGTCCGACCGAAGAGCATGAAGAGCAGATTACCCATAAAGTAAACGAAAGCGGTGAAGAAGAAAACGATTCGCCATTGTGCAGGATTCCTCTGAAAGAGAAAGATTACATGTGCACATGGGAAATCGAATGGATCGCACTCACCTCATCCCAGACAATCAATCCCACAATCAGCGGCGCCAGAATGCTCATAAAGTTGGCTGCACAGTTCGTGATGCCCATCAGAGTACCAGCAAAGTTGGGCGCCAGATCGATGTGATTGACGTGGAAGCCCAGATATGTGGCCGAGTTGGTGGCCACTGCCATGGTGAGCAATGCAATGGCCAGCCGAAAATTTGCCTCGCCCTCGGTGATGCAGCCCAGACCGATCAGAGCGAGCATGGGCAGCCACATGCCCAGCGTATTAAAGAACTTCCGGGAGAAACCCAGTGGCAGGACTGTGCCACGTTGCTTCATTGCATCCGATAGCCAGATGAACACGCACGTGAGCAGTATCATGGCGAAGTAGGGCAGAGCCGACAGCGGGCCGTTGCTCTTGATGTCCATGCCCAGGACGCTCTTCATGAACGTGGGAATCTCTGTGAGCAGCGTCCAGAAGCCCCAGTTGTTGGCGCAGTGAGCCAGCACGAGCACCAGAAATGGTCCCGAGGTGAGAATGCGTAGCCAGGGCGTGTGCGGCCGTGGCGTCACCTCGCGTCCTACATCCGACGGACGGCGTGCCTGGCCAGACGACTCGATGTAGCGACGCTCAGCCGGCGATATCGTTGAGTGCTGGGCCGGAGTGCTTGAGCAGTACAAGTACCACACGAACGACCACAAAATGCCGGCACAGCCAGGAACATAGAAGATGCTGGGCCAGCCCAGCGAGGAGGACGCAATGTAGCCGCTCACCGAGAGCATTACCACAGTGCCGAATTGTGAGCCCGAGTAACTATAGCCGACCAGTCGACCGCGCTCTTCGGTTGGCGCCCATTTCGAGAGGAATGTGTGCGTTGAGGGGAAAATGACGCCCTGGCAGAGACCCTGGACGGCACGCAGCACGACGACCGTCTTCCAGCCGCCCGTAATGGCGCAAAAGGGCGTCAGCAGGGCGAGGCAGGAACATATAAGCACTCCAAAGAAGAGCATATACTTGGCCCCATAGATGGCCGAGAGATAGCCACCCGGCACCTGGGTGACGACGTAGCCCCAGAAGAAGCTGCTCAGCAGGTAGGACTTGACGCTCTCGTTCCACTCGAACTCCTGCAAATAAAAATAATGAATTATCATCGAAGCATATGATGTATGGCTTTGCCCACAGGAAAGTCCGGGTTGCTGGAATTTCGATCCGTCATAGCCACAATGGCCACGGAGAGATTAACGCGCAACGAATAGGCCACGGCCAGGCCAAAGAAGACCAGAATGCATTGCAGATGTCGCACTCCGAATCGTGGCCCTGAAAATACAAAAATGTGCAACGTAAGAGAATAAACTGATTCAAACAAAGGGCACACCAAATTGCCTGTGTTCCCTATTTGCTGGTAGCCAGTCCGGCTGCAACAGGGGAAGCAGCCGAGCACCATATTGTGCACTTCCGTCCAATTCTATCCACGTAGCCAAGTTAATAGATGCTACGCTGGCGGTGGAGGGAAGAGTGTTGGCGGCGTCTAATAATAATAATAATAATGTAAATACAGCTGATAGATGACCCTCCGAAATATACCAAAATATACCGTAAATATACTGCCAGACACTACAAGATGCGTTGATATTCCTCGATTTTCATATTCGGTTTAATATTACTAAATAGTTAAGACTTTAACGACTGGACATAGTATTTTATCAGATAGGTGAATCAATTTCCTGAAATCTGGTTTATTTTAATGACTCCCATTTATTAGATTACTTGTAAAGACCAGTTTAAACAAAGAAGGTACTAACGATTGCATACAAAAACAATTTCAACCATTGTTCATCCAACGAAAGTGGCGCTACTGAGTTTTCAGCGTACGTTCCCAGGTCTTCGGCTCTGGGGCCGATCGCGTTCGGTTTTGGGATTGACCGCGTTCGGCTCATAAAAATAAAATATATTAATTGTTTGATTTATTTGAAATTGACATTTACATATTGTGCTTGCGACTATGCAAATCTGTCAATAAATTGATATATGTACTGTATGTTGTCGATACTTTAGGGGGGTCAAAAAAAAATTTGTTAGCTTAGGAAATATGTAACAAATTTAGGAACAATATAAAAAAATGTCAAAGCTTAGAAGAAATGTAAAATGTAATAAAAATAAAAAAAAATAAAAAATGTTTTTATTGCTCATTGACAAAAGCTGACTGATATGAAAAAAAAAATTCTAATTGCTCGCTGACAAAAGCTGACTGATATGAAACGAAAAAATTCCAATTGCTCGCTGACAAAAGCTGACTGATATGAAAAGAAAAATTATAATTGCTCGCTGACAAAAGCTGACTGATATGAAACGAAAAAATTCCAATTGCTCGCTGACAAAAGCTGACTGATATGAAAAGAAAAATTATAATTGCTCGCTGACAAAAGCTGACTGATATGAAACGAAAATTTATAGTTGCTCGCTGACAAAAGCTGATTGATATGAAACGAAAATATTGTATTGCTCGCTGACAAAAGCTGACTTATATGAAGCGAAGAAATTGTATTGCTCGCTGACAAAAGTCTGGTGCGACGGTCCGATATGATCTGTCCAGCCTTGCTGAAAGACCTTTCGGACTCGCACAATGTTGCCACACATCCACCGACTTTGCCTACACCACCAGTTGAATACCTGAAAACATCTAAATACAGTTAATAATTCAATTTATAAATATATTTTTACACATACCTTCTGCGCTTCCCTTACTTTACTTACCTTGCAAAAAAAACGATAGTCGCCATAAAACATTCCAAAATTCCAAAAAATTTAAAAACATCGATGCATCGATGTTTTCATCGATTTTTCTCCACCTCTACCTGTAATGGTTAGTGGTTCGATACAAGTGTTCATTTGGTGCTAGAGTTGCCACACATGGCAATCTTCTATCCATCTTCTATTAATAGTGGGCGCCCAATTCAAATTCGATTTAGTATTTAAATGAAACAACATTAATTTCGGTACGTTTTGACTTGGTTTCAGCTTTGACTTGAGCTGTTTTATTAAATGGCTTTGAATGTCTTCATTGCTTTTTTTTCTTCTTTTTTTTTTGCCTTTTTTAGTTCACTTTTTGTTCATCACAAGTTGGTTTTCAGTTTAGTCCTAGCTTAAACACTAAACATAACAATTACTAGAGTTTTTAGCAGCACATGCACATCGTACACTACACCTGTGTTCTGTGGGCACTTCCCTATTTACACTGAACGTTTTCTCATGTTGCAAGTTTAATTTGATTTAAGCTTTAGATTATGTACATTATGGAAAATACTGCAAACAATAATTTACGCTGCCTTAGAACTAAACAATTATCTTATAATATCGCTAATGGAAGCACGCGATCGTCGTTATGGTATTGTCCCTAACTAATTGACTACGACTAAAAACTATGAAACAACAGCAATGACTCAATCATGCCCCTCTATCCTGTGGCGGCTATCCAGATCTAGTGTTTGTTTTGGCCATTGGGCGACAGCGGCACTCCCTGCTCCACATCGTCCACCGTCTGCTCTGGCGAGTCCCACCACTGCACCTCCGTTCGGCCAAAGACCACGAAGAGCAGGTTGCCGAAGAAGTAGCCGGCGGCCGCCAGGAAGAACACCAGACGCCATTCATTCACATTTGTCTGTGGAAGATATCAGAGTTAGCAAGGAACTCGTGGAGCATCTGCAAAGATTGCACTTACCGGATCTTGGACGATCTGACCGACAACGAGGGGCGCAATGGCGCTCATGATGTTGGCCGCCCCATTCGTGAGGCCCATCAGGGTGCCGGCATAGTTGGGCGACAGATCGATGTGGTTCACCTGGAAGCCCAGGTAGGTCGCAGCACTGATGCCCACGGTGAGGGTCAGCAGAACCACGGCCAGCAGGTTGTCCTCCTTTGGCACGTAGCCCAGGGCGATGAGCGAGCACATGGGTATCCAGTGGCCGATGCTGTTGAAGAACTTGCGGTTGAAGGAAGTCGACAGCGACTTGTTCCTCTGCAGCACCTTGGACAGCCAGACGAAGAAGAAGCTGAGCAGCAGCATCACAGTGTAGGGCAGGGAGGAGAGCAGGGCGCTCTCCTTGATATCGATGCCGTAGATGTGCTTCATGTAGCTAGGGATCTGGGTGAGCAGCGTCCAGAAGCCGAACATGTGGGTGCAGTGCACCACCATCAGCGACAGGAACGGCATCGAGGTGAAGATGGGTATCCAGGGAGTAGGCGCCAGGTTATCGGCCGACTGCATCTTGCCATCGCTGCGCGACTCCTCGATGAACTTGAGCTCCTCCGGCGATATGAAGCGGTGCTCCTCCGGCGTGCTCGAAGCGAACACGTACCAGAAGAAGATCCACACGAATCCGCAGGCACCGCCCAGGTAGAAGATACTCGGCCAGCCCATGAAGGAGTCGGCCATGTATCCACTCGTTGCCAGCATCACCACAGTTCCGAACTGGGCGCCCGAATAGCAGATGGTGCCAAGCATGCCGCGCTCGTTGGCCGGCGACCACTTGGAGAGCAGAGCATGCGTGGCCGGGTGCACTGCACCCTGGGTAAGGCCCATCGTGAAACGAACCGCACACAGGCCCATCCAGCCGCCCAGCTTGACGGACAGAGGCGAGATGATGGTCAGGACGGCGGCGGCGGCCAGACCAGCGAGCAGCAGCATCTTGGCCCCATACCGCTGGGCAATGTAACCGCCAGGCACCTGAGTGGCGATGTAGCCCCAGAAGAAGCTGCTCAGCATGTACGACTTCAGGCTCTCGTTGAACGGATAAGTCTGCGAACGGAAATAGGAGGGTGAGCGAGTGTCGGGCTTGGCTGGTTCTGGGGATCTTACCTCAGCTTCGAACAGGCCAAAATCGTCGTCGTCATCGTCTGGCATGGCGGTGGAAGTGTCATTCGCAGTGGCATTCCTAGCTTCCGGCTCGGACATGGCCACCAGAGCCACGCTGAGGTTCACCCGCCAGGCGTAGCACATTGCCAGACAGAAGAAGCAGAGGATGCATTGCACATGCCTCACGCCGATGAGTTTCTCTGCAAGGAAAAGTGTTGGAAATATAGATTAGCCGGAGGTACATATACCCTGGAACAAGATGAATGGGAGGGATGAACTTCACTCTGATCAAGCACATGCGCCTGCGCAGACATCTGCTCTGCTCTCTTTCTCACTCTCTGCCTCAACAGGTGTAAACGTGTGCAGCTTTGCTTTATCAATAGACGCCTCTCTCTCTTTGTGTCTCTCTCGCTCTCTGTCTTTTCACTGCCGTTCTCTTTGGTGCTCCCAAAACTGGTAGCCGTGTAAGTATGTGGGGCGCGTTTTATTTATAAAACACTTTGACTATGTCAAAATCTTGTTCGTGCACGCACAGACACGCTCACTCTCGCTCACACGCACACACACGCCCACTATGCACAGAGGTGGATGCGAATATTGTGAGACCTGTGCATGCATGTCGTTGTAAGCCCACAAAATTCAACATACACCATACATAACATGAATGTGCCTGTACGGTGCTGTACATGTGGCCCAAAGCGCAATACGAGTGAGTAGTCTCTGCTGGCTGCTGCTGCTGCTGGCTGCTGGCTGCTGCCTTGTCACACTACCTGTTTGAGGCCGAACAGCAGTCGCCCGATCCTCACGTGCCCAAAACGAACACCCATGCCATCGCATCCCAAAAGAAAACATGATTTGGCTGTTTATTTATTGGTGGCTTGCGCTACCTTACGCGGATTTTTGTAGGCTATTTTTAAACCCGACTCTAAGCCACCATAAATGGCTTAAACAAACGCCGCACCACGCACACATTTTGCAACAGTGCAACAGCAAACCGTGCAACCTTGCAACGCGGCCTTACAAGGCGCTTGGGTCTATTGAACTCCAGTTGGAACTCCATTCCGATGCCAATTCAGAGCCCCAGCTTAAAGTCCAAACTAACAATTGCTTGTCTCTTCCAAAAATTTCCCCCATACGGACGGACGGACGGATGATTGTTTCAATGACGTCCGAAACGAACTTTGCTGCCCGCCCGATCGAGAAGACTCCCGCGCATGTTCGCTCTCGCTCTAGCTGCTTCTGCCGCTCCCTCATGCCTCTCTCTCTCTCTCTCTTTATATCTCTGTTTATGAAACTGATTCAGTTTCTCGTGCCGGACGCGACGATGACTCGTGGACAAGTCGGGTCGTGTGAGGAGCACCACTGAAAACGCTTTATCTGACACGTTTTTGAATTTATGTATTTGCGGCATATTTTCTGCAGGCGTAGCCGAGCAAATTTATGGCTAATATACAGATCTTTTGTCTGGTCTGTCCCCTGTCCCTCGGCACGCTATTGGGCTGGGGGAGGACACTATACAAGAGAGTGATATTCTGATTCTCCAAAGTTAAATTTTCTGCTACACCCAAAAAAGAACCGACACCAAAACCAAATCAATCAACATTTATGAGTAGCTATAGAAAAAAAGAGTTTCTGCTTTGAGTGTTTATTGGATGCCATTAGGGGTAAGTATATAGTATACTCTGGGTGTTTGTATTTTGATTGATTGCCAGTGGGCCGAGGCGAGGCTGACTGTACCTAGCGTCCGTTAGTGGGACAATCGGAGGACACAACGCAACACCAAGAAAACAACAACAAAAAACACAACAGTAAAGTCAAGTGTGTGTGCAGTATTGATAACCGATAACGGGCTGTGCTCCGATAAAACTGGAACGCCACAGAGCTTTCCATACGGGTAGGCGGTGCGGGTGGGTGGGCGTTAGGCAGAATTCAGTCCCCTAAGTCGATAAGATAATCACTAGTTACAGCTCTGGCCCCATGTCTCCCTGCTACGCTTCCCTCCTTCACGCCGAGCAACGCCAACCACGGACGGTTCTCTCACATGCAAAGAGCGTGTCACTCTTTTGAAATCGCTTTACAACTGTCAATTTGTCTTTGGGATTAGCTTATCAGCTGACTAAAGAGCCACGCCAGTGCTCCCTCACCAGTTCCCCGTCTTGTCACATTATATATTTCTATTTAAAGTTCAGAATAAAATTAAAAAAAAAAGAAATACTGAAAACTGTCGCTCGTTGAGTTTTCCCTCTCTCTCTCTCTCTCTTTTCATTTTTTTTTCGTTTCGTTTAAGGTTTTTCATTCCGTTTTTGTTTATTTTTATCACTCGAAAGTGCTAAAATGTGATTCGATTTTGTTTGGCAGCGTAACCAAAGAAAAAACAAAAAAAAAACGTAAATATTTAATGGAGGAAAAATCACACATTTTTTAATTTTTTAATTTTAATTATATTATTATATTTTAGAGTTGAGCGAAATGAGAGGGAAGTGGCTCGTGCACTCTTTTGTGCGAAGGATGGCGAATGCAGTATATCGCTGCAGTGGAGGTCGTCTATATCTGACTGTACATATACACAACTATATATACTCGAACTGCATAATGCATAATTATTTCTGATCTCATGCGAACGCATGCAACGACGCTTCCAGTCGTCGGGGAGACAGACTGCATTCGAGAGATGGAAATGTATCTGGAAATGGCAATCCGCAACTTATTTGGAGCGAACACGACAGAGATCAGATCGTGTGGGAATGGAATGAGTATCTCCACGTCTGTTAGAGAACTAATTAAGCAATTTCCGGCAACAGGCCGCTGTCCGAGCTCGGAACATGCCAGGCGCCGCACATGCCAGGCTTTTGCCACACGAGCGACTTATATAAGACACGTGCTTGGAGAGCTCAATGGGAATGGCGATGGGGTCGGTATCTCGTTGGATTGCACTTACCATTGGCGTATTTACCTCCTGTTTTCACCATTGTCAAAGCGGTGGTCATGTGTGCGACGCGGGTTGAGAAATACTCGGTTATTTTTCAAAGAAAATTAAACCTCAATTGGAACGTTCCCACTGGAATTTTTTGTAGTATTTCTTTTTTTTTGATATTTCACACAACGTGTTCCGGTTCCGTCATGAAGTTGGAACACACATGTGGGCTTTATTTATTTGAATTGTATTTAGACGGGACGCGAGTATACTCTCTCTTTTTCGGACGGTTTTCCACGACTGTATAACTGAGCACGCGTTGGATCCCCAGTAGGGTGTATCTTTTGAACGTTCTGGCGAACGGGGCGGATTGCGACTGCTTGAATAGCTCACGGCGGTCGATTCTTTTATAAATATGATCGAAACTCTGCCGGTCAGCGCTGGCTAAAGCAGAGACCCGAGCACAGCACTCTTTTGGTGGACAGAGAGTGAGAGAGAGAGAGTGCGAGAGAGATCGAGATCGAGATAGAGGCAGTCTCAGAGAGTCCGAGTGTAAGCATGTGTATCTGTATCGCGTGAATTCCATTCCGTTTTTGTACGGCGCGCTGCTATCAGTAAAAATGAACACGCTGGCAACCAACCCACACCAACACACACACTCACACACACGCCACAATCTCATTCTCTCTCTCTCTCTCTCTGGGATTGGCACTGGTGTTGGTGTGGATTTCTCTCTGGTGGAACCGGCATACATATGGGAGTATGTAAACAACACCAACACATGGACAGGGTTCGGTTATCAGTACACTCTTTGCCTGCTATTCCTCTCCTCTCCACTGCACCTTTTCATCATCGTCCTACTCCTCCTCCTCCTGCTCTTCCACTTTCCTCTTGTTGGTTTCTCAGTATTCGATTGTTTCTGTAACACAGGCATCTCGGGGTGCTGTAAAATTAGTCACAGTGTTCGACTGATGCACCACTCTCTCTTGCAGCCTAGAAGTGCAGTTAGTTGAGATTTATCTGGCCATCTCTCTCTCTCACCACTCTCTTTCTGCCTGAGAGCTAGAGATGCGGCTAGATCTGGTTTCTGCCAGTTAACAAGGCTGGGAATAGGCATGAATGAAATGGAATCCTTGCTGCAGATCATCTCCCAATACTATACACTTGTAGATGTCTCTGTATGTCCGACGATAAGGGCACAAAAAACCCCAGTCGAGGTCATTGTGTCCACTGATAAGCCTAGATCGATCTCATCTCAATACAAATCTCTATAGTTGAGATCTCTCTCTCTTTCTCTTCAGACTCTCTGTTCTACAAAATGACATAACAAAGCCTCGAGACGATCCATTACAATGCAGAGTGTGATCGATGGCGTGCTTGTGGGTTCATTAACTTACATAAAACCCACACCATCACACCTTTGATCAATGCAATTTTCATTTTAACATGACAGACAGATTCTGCTACCCCACAAACCCCTTAACCATCCAGGGCGATACGCGTATATACGAGTATGTAGGTAGGTACCCCCGTATAGCAAAATTTTTCCTTAATTATTTCACTTGTTATTGGATTTCCCTATCTTTACCTTTTTCGTTCGCCTCGCTTTGCTGAAAATGAAATGTTTTAAACAAATTATTTATGCCTTATCAGTATGTGGGGGGATATTTCAGACTTTGATTCGCGGCTAAGTAAATGAGTCGAGGCGAGCCCGCTGCCTTCTCCACTGACCCCCTTTGGGTCTTTCGGGACTCTGCAAATTCATTCTGATTCCGACAAAAACATAGGCGGTGATACAGGGAGGGAGAGTGTGGAGAGTCAGGAGTGGGGTTTTGTCAGGGAGCAGCACTGACGACAGCAGGAGTTTGATAAGGCCCCACCCGATTCCGTCTTTGACTTCAATACCAAATCAATTTTGGCACATGGCACACACGTTTGGAGGCACGTTCAGGGTGATCCATTGTCCGTTCCGTAAATAATGAGTTCTGCCAAATCTCGAGACGTCTGTTATCGAGACCGGGCCCCCACTCGATGATTAGCCCATTCCCGTGGCAAAATCCAATCCAATCCAATCCATTACTTGCTTATCATGCCGGATCTTCAGCTAAGGAATTAACCATCTCCACAAATGGGACATTTTTTTGCTATAAATGAATGATTCGAGCCACTTTTGGATTTATGAGTGGAATATATTTAGAGCATATTTGTATAGTATTTCTGCCGATGGCAATCTAATCAGGCGACACGCCCATCCCCCTGATGGATTGATGTGATTGCGAGTGGGAATGAAGGCGAATCTGTTACACGAACAGGGCTTATTATCTGGCAAATGGCAAACGGTTGAGCGATCTTCCGCCAGTCCGCTTGACGTCAGTGCACTGCAGGCGAGGAGGAGCGAGTGGTAAGGGCATGAGGGAGGGTCTGTTCCCATATGGCGCACCCTTCTCCGACTCAAGCCCAGTTTTAGTCGAATTAAAATGCATCATTTCGTTCTTATGAGGCACACAAACATCGAGCTGTCTGTCACTCGGTGGAGAGTTACTTGTGTGTCGTTACGTATACGCCAGGTGTAACCAAACAGAAATGCTCTAAACGGGTCTAATTGTGGTCCGTGCAAGGGTGTAGCTGTCACCCGTTTTGGGGCAGAATGAATACGATTTCGACTCCTTTGGCCTGCGGTTTTTTCCAGTGTTAATTATGATGTCCCCGCACGGACATTGTTTGAGGCGTGTTGGCGCCAACAGCCTTTTAATGCGCTCGGCAAATGTGTGTCTAAGATTTGCCTTTTGATTGTACCCTATGTGGCAGGGTATATCTATACTCGAAGCTCTATTGGTTATCCAACAATGCCGCATGCTATTATATTCTGATTGTCCACTTGATTCGCATCTGGTTCACCCAATAAAAGCCAATTGATAAGAGTATCCGCAGTTCGCTTGCTCGCCGCCAATTGTTGCGCATTCAAATTAGAAAATATATCAAAATTTATATGTGTGCCGTCTAAGAGTTTGGGCAAACGTCTCATTACAGCGCGGAATTGTGTGAATTTCTATGGCATATTTGAGATACCATCTGGGCGCGTAATTGAATTGCGTCCAATCAACTCCAATTGTCCGCATTGTGGTCCGATCGAATGTCAATTATCATCATCAACACTGGAAACTTTATCGAACTCTGAGAATCGATGAGTGGGTGTGTACAGGGCTGTGGGCGTGTCACTTGGTTAGCACCCCCGCCGATGCTGGTGTCTATCTGTAGGTCAGACACTTGGCAAGCATTCAATGAGGAAGATGCGACACAAATATTTTAATATATATTTTCCGCGTATAATTCTGTTTTAATTGCAGCTACTCGTACTAAGAATAGAACGTCTTGATTTGGACAACGTGCGATCATCGTCCGCTCATGAAGAGCCATTTCCGCCGGAGGTTATCCCAAGACCTGCACCCGTATCCCGTCGAAAAAGATTGTCTTGAGTCACTCGACAAATCTGCGTGCGCGCTTCGCACTGCGACTGCAGAATCTTATCTAATGAAAGATTTGGTGGCATACCATAAAAAAAGAAAAAGGGGATTGTGTAAGTCTTATCATTGCAGAGGGGGCTCTGATTTATCATACCCCCAGGTGTGACATCATTTGGCCCTAAAGCAGATGGATACCAAAGCGTGTTCTGGGAAGATCCAAAGATCATAATCGCCATACATATTTACAAACATACATGTGTATGTACATATGTATGTATACAGGTATCTTTCCATGACTTGCCAGTAATGGTTGAAACAGAATGGAGTTCGTTGTGAAATGGTAATTAACTATTCATTATCATATTATATTTAGTTTGATGGAGGAGTGCCCTGAGACAGGGGGCGGGCGAGCAGCCGGGGTGAATATAAATATCATTTGTGGAAAAACAACAAACAGCATTGAGTATTTGCGTTAACAGTGCGAAATGATTAACGCGATAACCTCCGCTGGGGCAGGCACCGCAGGCCCCAACCACAAGTGAGAGCAGGAGAGAGAGCAAAAATCATTGGGAGAGCGAGAAAGAGGGGAGCAAAATAAAGAGAGAGATAGAGAGAGAGAGACAGTGGTCGAGGCGCCGCACTGTGTTAATTTTTTGTTGCCATTTTGCAGCTTGACTTTTTGTACACAGTCAGACAGGCCCCAATCCAATGCACACACACACACACACACACACACACATACGCATACAGTTACGTGTTCGTTCTCCCCAAGTACAGAGCTTGCTTCGCTGGCGCTCGGCTCCCACTCTCTCTCTCTCTCTTGATCTTTGATCACGTTTCCCGCACACGACGGCACCCGAGTTGGGGCACTCGGCGCGACGTTCACGTGATAACCATGTGCTCTGCCTGCTTCGCCTTTATTTGCTGTGTGATTGTGTGAGTGACTTGCTTGCTGGAGGCGAATAAATGTATGGGGCAAAAACGAGTCACAAAAAGATATTGCTGATTTTCTGCGAACGGAGTCGAATGACTGCCCTGCCTGCCCGACTGCCCTCTCCGATCAGCTCACTGAGCGTGGAGAGGGTAGCCGCTGGGGGGAGTGGAGCGCAGAAATTTCATCATCGGAGAAGCTAACTCACCTTAAAATAAACAAAGACAAAAACTGTCGACTCACATTGAGTCGCCCGATAATCACGCATTTCTCACTCCGACTCAGCCTCTGAGATTTCAGTAAATTATGATCGGCTGATGGCCGTAACTGGCAGTCAAGCGAAATGGTAACTGTTCTTACTGATAGCACTGAGCAGAGAGCTGTTAAGTTTTATTATGATTTGCCACTGGCAAGTGTCTGATAAGATCTCTGATTTTCGTATAAATAACTCCTCCTAAATTGCTTCTTAATGGATTTATTTCATTATCTTGAGCTCTTGGAGCTCTCCAGCTCCAATGAGGGGGTTTTGCTCGAACATTCCAGTGCACGTGTCCGAGTAATGGAAGCGGCTTACAGTGGAATCTACTCCATGTCGGGGACACTCATTTAAAATCTCTGTTGGCGCGACTCAAATTCGCTCGGATTCTTGTCAGACGACTACGAGTATATGTATGTACAAATCTGAGCAGTATGTATATATTCTTCGTTATATATGTACATGTGTATATATAGCACTGCCCTTGTTCATATCGCGTGCTTGAAAGAAGAAAAAGTTTTATTCAAATTCTGCTTATCAAGATTTTGTGCCCAAGTTCCCGGTTCCGCCTTCCCTAGCATTCTGCCTGGCCTGCCGAGTTCGAAGCTATAAAATGTGCACGGCATTTTCTTGTGGCAACAGATACGCTTAAAGTGGGGATTAAGTGATTGCAGTAATTGATTTGCCAGCTCGGATCAGTGAGTGTGAACCCACTATCTGAGATACGAGATGATTACTGT